ACTATTCTAGTAGCTGTTTCCAGGCCCTTTATGCATGTCATTTGTTATCGTCAGTTTCCTTATTTAAAAAAACTTGTCCAAATCAAATAATATCTAAGCACATTACTATTAAAGGGTAACTGACCATTTGCGACTAAATTGTTTTCCATAGTTTGGACAAAAAATGAGGAAGTTAAATTCAAGTCGTTTGTGAAGAATTTTGATGAGTCAAGCAATTCTCATTTTAAGTGTTAAATAGGGATCAAAACATTGTTTAAATTCATAGCTCAGAGATATTATAGTTATTATTATTATATATCAGTAATTTTAATGAAAAGGAAGGACAATATTCTTAGTAATATTGACACCTGTTATTTAGTATGATGGATCCCCACGGTTGGGTACAAGAGCATAGAAGTTTAACATTAAAATTGTTACCCATAAGAAACATGAAACCCTCAAAAATGGCCTTATAATCAGCCATTTAATTCATAGTGGGGTGGGCGGAGTAAACCTGTGCTTATTTTTATTACTGTCTCACCACCGGGTTTGCCATTCACCATGACCATTATTGAATCATTGGCACATTTAGGCTTCCATGCGTTATTAGCAGTAGTGCTACGGTATAGAGGCCACACAAATTTTACTTTATAATTTATGGGTAGCATACAGTGCTATAATGTTGCCAAGACGTTAACACATTGGAGGCCAAACAAGTTACTAAATGTGTTTCTTCATACAGTCAGTGTTGAATAATTTGAACAACATATTTCTTATATATCTATCTATATTATGTTGACGCTGGAGAGTTATACTCTAGTTCGTTGGATATGGTCTTGTCATCGTCCGAATCGAACGGTTTGTTGCTGCCAACTCATTGCCGATTCCACTAACCCGTGCGGGACCAGCCTGGGTAAACGCGTATTTTATGTTAAACAAATGGTCAAGTTTGATTGGATACACCTGTTGGGAAGGCGCTGTATTTGTCAAAAACTGTGTATGCCGAGGTTGCAGGCTGTTCGTGGCATACTTCGTCAGCAAAATGACAAATATTTATGTCGACCATGTTTTAACAAAGTAATGAAACTGTCAACTCTGAAAGAATATCTCAGAAACTCCTCTCGACGGATCATTCAAAAATTTAACTGTTGAACATTGAACAGTTTCCTGATTTGCTACTCCCTGTCTTCGTTGTAACAAAGCCATATCTTTCAGCTAGTAATGCCTCAATTGCATGGTTATCTTGACAAACTGCATGATCTGTTCTGCTTGGGTCGCCTGTTAAAAAGAACGCTCAGCTGTATTTTGATACAAGATAGCTGATTGGCTGTTTATTTTTGTCACATCTCCCTTCCTTGACGTTAAGGGCGCCTATTAAATACGCACTGTAGTGGTCCAATCTGCCAAGGGTTAGTTTGGAGGGGTGATCCGAAACAAACGTTCCTTGGCTGTTCAAGATGTGGTATTGTGGACATAAAATCGTCTAAAACAGTTTATTTTACTACAGTGAATACTACCTCTGAATGTTTTCTTAACGACAATGGAGAGGACTACAGAGGAACAAGAGGAGATGATTCATGCATGTATTGGACAGAATTACGTATTCAGTCAGCTCACTATCCATATACTGGTCTTGGCCATCACAATTATTGTCGAAACCCTGATGGATCATCGCATCCATGGTGCTATTATTATTCTGAAAAAACGATGTGCGACAATATAAAGAGCAGCTGTCCAACACCAGGTAGGCCATAGGTTTAATGATAACATTCAATGATAAGCGGAACATTCCATTCTGTAAACAGGCGACACAGGTTAATGGGAAATATAACAGTACGTTATATTGGGGGAGGGGTAAATAAAATTTAAAAGACTATATTTTATAATATTATATATATATTATTCCTACTGTGGTCAATCAGAGAGCAGGTTGTTTGTTTGTTTCTCCCAACAAATCAAATTCAGACTCAATCGAAGCCATATGCTGGTCTGTCATGAGATGTTGTGTTGTTTTTTGTCAATTGCAATATTTATCGATTGTATTTGATATGTGTCAGCTGCACCATGGGTATCGCAACACAAAAATATATAATGTAATATCATAGAAGTAATACATGAATAATTATTCTGGGTTAGATATACCACAGCCTCTGGGATTATGGCCTCTGGATAAGACTCATCTCAGTGAAGATGTTAGTGGAAACAACATCGATGCTGTATTACATGACGTTGACCTCATTGAGACTGCTGAAGGTATCTACAGTGGGGCATATTTCATGTCTGGACTTGGAACTTCATATATCGAGCTTTCTGGGAATATCTTTGATGAAGTTGAAGGATCATTTACTCTATTAATAGCATTGTACGTGGAGGATTATAGTGGAATTATTTTCTCAACTGACGATGGAAGCCTTGTTTTATGGTTCGACCATTTATTTCTACATGCCAGCATACAGACAACAAGTGGTGATCTGATCCAACTGGATGGCAAACAATTGTCTGCTTTTCAGTGGAACTTTGTGGGTGTGTCTTTTAACTACTTAGGATGTGTTTTTGAACTGTGGTTGAATGGATTACTTTCAGACAGAATATTTACCCTCAGAAGTGAAATTAACTTGTCAAATGTATCAAGTTTATTCCTTGGAAATAGTGCGATTACAGAAATGAAATGGAAAGGCCTAATAAAGTGCTTGCAGATTTACAATGATTCACTCTCATCCCGACAACAAGCATTATCTTACAATCTCTGTCCAGGTCAGTAGGCCATATTGTATTTGCAACCAGTACAATGGTAGATGACAAAGTTCCTCCCAGATTTTGAATAAGTGTGTGTGTGTGTATTTGGGTTTTGACTCGCAGTACAAAGGTGCCATGGGATAAACTGTACTGCTTATTTGATATACTATGTTGTTGCATTGTTTTGACCAATGGTACAAACGTGACACGGGATAAACTGTAGTGTGTTAGATATGTTATATGATTTTGTTTTATGGTACAAAAGTGACATGGGGTATACTGTACAGTGTATTAGATATAATATTTTAAAAGCAAACAATGGGAGTTGATATCCCAAGAACCATTTGATAATTTTTGATGAAACATACATAGATGTTCTGGGCTAATGCGTAAATTAGTAAATTAAAATCTGTGCATATTAATTAACTGATTAGTCAGTTTGCAGCTTTTCAATACTTATCATCTTATTTCAATGAATCTTAGTACATATATTCTCTAAGACAGTGTGAGGATCTAATTAGTTTTGGGGTTTGTATAGATGCATAATAATTACCTAGTTTGCATAATAATATAATTTTAAAGAATTAATAACATTAGAATGAAACTTGGAATGTGCCCTGGAACAATACACAGACATAATTAGTTTGGGGTTGAAATCTATGCAAAATAATTGATCAATTTGCATAATAATAACCCATTTTTTGCCTAGGAATAATGCATCAGTTTTGCATTAAAATTCGAGCATACTATTTGTCAAATTTGCACAATGTGCATAATCATCACATGTCATTGAAATTAGTTCATAGATGCTCTGGGGTAATCCCCAGACTTAATTAGTGTAATATAGAAGAACATACATATAGATTATGCAATTATTATTAGCCAATTTCTCTTAATAAATCAGGTTTAAATTGAACTTGTGGTAGAGGTGCTCTGGACTCATTTTTAATATGTCCCCAATACGCTCCCCAGCACACAGGATTTTTTTTTAACCTTTCTTTGTTTTCCATAGTACGAAAGTTCCATGGAATAAACGTCTGTGTATTAGATATAGTTGTATGGGTTTGTATCACGGTACGAATGTGATATGGTATAAACTGTATTGTGTATTGGACATAATATGTTGTATGGTTGGTTTTGTGTCGTGGTACGAATGTACTGTGTATTAGCTATAGTATGTATAGATCGTGTCTCATGGTACAAACGTGGTATAGGGTATGATGTACTGTTGTATATCATTGTCTCAATGTACGAAGACTACATGGGTTAAATATACCATGATAAAATATACAATATACTGTTGTTTAGTTTATTCTCGTAGGATATAAGTGTTTGCATGCATCCACACAGTTGTCTATTTAGATGTTCGGGTTATCGCCCACACCATGATTGAATAAGCTACCTCCACCAGCCCTCCTGCTGTAATTTCTGCTCAGTTCCGTACAACTTATTTTTCAGCATGTAAATTATTTACCTATCATATATATGTATATCATTCTACTCTCCCACAGTCCCTAAATCATCTAGCATTCATAGTTATATATCATAATTGTTCTTCTATTCAATTATTTTAAATTATTGTCAGTTGTTCTGTGAAATAAGATCCTAATACAAAACTCACGCATGCATATACAGCATACACGTCACGTCATATATACATGCATATACAACACACACGTCACGTTACGGCATATATACATGCATATACAGCACACACGTCACGTTCCGTAATATTTCCACGCATATACAGCGTACACGTCACGTTACGTCATATATACATGCATAGACAGCACACACGTCACGTTACGTCATATATACATGCATAGACAGCACACACGTCACGCTACGTCATATATACATGCATAGACAGCACACTCGTCACGTGTGTCATATATACATGCATAGACAGCACACACGTCACGTTACGTCATATATACATGCATATACAGCATACACGTCACGTTACGTCATATATACATGCATATACAGCACACACGTCATGTTACGTCATATATACATGCATATACAGCATACACGTCACGTTACGTCATATATACATGCATAGACAGCACACACGTCACGTTACATCATATATACATGCATAGACAGCACAAACGTCACGTTACGTCATATATACATGCATATACAGCATACACGTCACGTTACGTCATATATACATGCATATACAGCACACACGTCACGTTACGTCATATACACATATACACATATATACATGTATATATGTGTCTTATTTCTAGAAATGTATGAAGATACCGATGAGTGTTTCTATAAGGAAATGGGGTTAGATTATCGTGGAAGAATTAATATCACCAAAAGCGGAAGAAACTGCCAATCTTGGATGGACAGAGAGCCCCATTTGTCAAAATTTGTGGGTTCTCAGTATCCTGGCAGAGGACTGGGTGACCACAACTACTGTAGGTCGCCAAATCATGCATATACTTGGTGTTACACAACTGCGCCAGATAAGAAAACCGAAAGTTGCTCCATTGGACAGCCAGGTCAGAATTGTTTAGATGGTGAGTTTATATTCCTTGTTTCGTGTTCATATTTATGTACCATAAAGTATGTAATCATTTGCACACAAACTTGATTATGCGTATTTTGATTACATAATGATATTAAATTCATATATATCAACATACATAAAGAAACTCTGATTTATATATAGAAATCTACCGGTAATATTTACAATAGTTTATGTTGCTGTTACTACATATGTTACTGTTTGTTCACTGACATATATTTTCATGATTTTTTAATTTAATTATGCTTAGCTCCAATAAAAATGAATAATATCAATAAAGTTATTATTATTGTTGTTATTATTATTATAAAATGGCATGTACATGCGCGATGATTTGATTTGATTTATATCAGTTGAATTAATTGAGTCCTGTATCAGGGGGAAATCTTTTCTCTCGGGGTTCTCCACACTTGTCAGGGGGGAAACTCGTCTCGTCTCTCTATCTCGTCCCCTTGAGGTACGGGATCGGGAAAGTCACTTTAACTTTACAGTCAAATAAGGCACACACAACGAAATACGTTTCATTTCTCGTCTTAGTCGATCTTTTGGAGCACTCTATAAGACACAGCGCCCTGGGGAAAAGTCCCCAAGACTCTCACAAGGCTGAACCAAGACTCGCCCAATACTAGACTGCGTCAAGGCTCGCCCCAAGACTGGACTGCCTCAAGGCTCGCCCCTGGACTGTACTCTCGACTGGACTCTCTCTCTTCTGCGTCTATCGTGGAGTATTCGCCAAGACCAACTCAAACTCTCTTTATTCATTTTCATAACTCTAACCAATTACAATGCAGTAAAAAGACTCTAGGGCGTAACCTTCAATCATAAAGCCAATCACACTAAGTACTGAATACGTCATATCTTTTGATTAATCGTTCACTACATTAATAACTACGGATGTCAGAATAGCGACGGTATCTTGTAATTAGTTCCAAATCACTGAGCCAAGTTCCGTCCAAAACTTCAATTAGACCTGAACGATGACAGACATAACACAGCAATTCAGCTAATAATCAACTAATTAAGTCGGTCAACAGATACGCGAAAACAAATTCATGACACCTGCCAGAAAGTCTAGCTGTTATAAAGTGCATTCATTTATAAGCCGATTTATGAATCACTACATAACTTGTGATTATGTGTTTCATGATTACAAGAAGCGTTGTTATAGAAATGGACAGATTCTTTTCTCAAACATTCTATTATATTGATTCTGATTGTGAAATGGTATCTTACAGCCCCACTACCGGTTGGATTTTGGCCATTAAATGCCGATTATTTGAATCAAGATATCAGTGAAAATGGAAATGATGCCATGTTAAATAATGTGTATATTCTACAGCCTGCAGAGGGGATTTCAGAAGGTGCATATGACTTCAGTGATGGTCCACCTGCTTCAATCACAATGAGAATAACTAAAACCATACATCTTAAGAATTCATTTTCAATTGTTTTACGTGTTTACATCCCATCGCCGATTTCACTGGAGGAGTCCCTTTTAAATCAAACAATCTTTAGATGGAATGACGTTTTTGTTTTGCATTGCATAAATATTGATATTTATGGATGGCTTGTGAGAAAGGATGGATCAGACTATGTCAGGTTCACTGCATATCGCAGCATACACTTGGATCAATGGAACACAATTGTTGTGAGTCGTAACCATAAAACCGGATACCTAGATTTATGGGTAAATGGACAACAACATTTCACACGTCTGATTGGTAACTGGCAGCTACCAAATTCATTGCATCATATTGACATTGGTGGTGGGGGATTCCGTGGACTGGTATACTGTTTTCAGGTTTATAATGTTAGCCTAAATAATAAAGATATAGAGGAAGCAATACAACGTTGTATGGGTGAGTATGATGAGTTAAATCACTATGCGATAGCATGTGGTCTTTTCTACATGAATACTTCGATGACAAATGAATATAAGAATAGATTAACTTAGTTCTCGGGATCAACTAAAACTTTTGTACACAAAATGGGGATTGAACAATTACTTTTTGTTAAATGTTCGTAATATGCAAGTAGTTACATTAATTGAACTGCTGGTGGACATTATGTAACTTGTCCCCGAGGAGTAATTTAACTGAGCAGACCATACTGACCATGAATACCATGCTTTTTATGTATGTGGTTGTCTGTGACGTTATCAATCGGGCATACACATATAATCACTGTGAGGACGCGTTCATTAAGACGCTGTATGGAACAGACTTTGAGGAGGGGGTGGGTGATTGTGGCCTAGTACTGAGGTAGGCATCTACTTACGGAAGCAAGGCGATTTGCCGAGGTCGTGAATTCGAATCTCATGTGTGCATGTTTATATGTTCATTATATGTCTCAACTTACAATAACTGAGCCTCCAATGTAGGTATTTTTTATTTGTTGGTTACAATAAAAAGACAGAACGCACAGCACGACGAACAGCCTCACTGGGGAAATGTACCACGGTTTCATTCCTGCTATGGGAAATGTACCACGGTTTCATTCCTGCTATGGGAAATGTACCACGGTTTCATTCCTGCTATGGGAAATGTACCACGGTTTCATTCCTGCTATGGGAAATGTACCACGGTTTCATTCCTGCTATGGGAAATGTACCACGGTTTCATTCCTGCTATGGGAAAAACTAAAAAGTGTTTTGTTATACAAAGATTTTTCTCGGGAAGTAAATATTTAAAAACTGCAATTTATACCTTTAAAATTGGAAGCCGTCCGGCCAAATATTTACCACTAATTGTGCGTTTTCTTTCAATATTACGTACCCTGCGTACTCATAGTGACTAATATACAGCTTGGGGTATAATACAGTCATTCGTTCTCAGTGTCAGTTCAGTTGGATTAAAATATGGCCCTTTTTCACATAAATATAAGCAAGTAGATAGATGTATCTAGTAGAACGCAAAAACGATCGGCCAAGATATAGATATTATAAAACTACGTGACAACATTTTACCTCATTGTATCACCATCTATGTCTCAGAGGAACATCACTTGGCAATTTTTGGGCTAATGTAATTGCATATTGATATACAGGTTATTGTAGTTGTATTATATCATTCAAGAGAAAAAGGTGTCAGACTATATTCATCCATACAAATGCTTGAATATCAGCTTCATTAACATGTTTTTGATGGTAAACCATAATGTTGCTAGATTAGGGTTAGAGATTTCATTGGCTTTGTTAATGGAAACGAGTTGAGAATTTGAAAGAAATCAAAATTGTAGTGTTTCGTTTATATGTACTTTTTTGCAGATTTAAACACTAAATCAGAATGTTTCTATAAGAGAGATGGTTCGGATTATCGCGGAACTGCTTCTGTGACGTCTGAAGGAAATTTATGTCTACCTTGGACGGATTTTCTGGATAATATAACAATACCAACACGAACTACTGTTCTTTCAACTACTGTTGCCATGGTGAAAGAAGATTCGACTAAAACAGAAATGATATCTAAAAACGGTTTGTATGGTAATATTACAATTAATAATGATGTATTTCAGACCATGGAAATTCACCGGACACATAGTGGCGTTGTCACCACGCCACCTCAAACAACCGAACCTGACAGTACATATCATCGTCGACAACGTTTGTTTGAGCAGCTCGGGATTGGAAATCATAGCTTCTGTAGGAATCCAACTGACAAGGACTATGCATGGTGTTACACAGATGATGGTGTAGCATACTGTGACATAGGTGTCCGTGGTGAATATTGTGATGGTCCACTGCCGACTGACCCAACAACATCCACCATAAAGCCAACAGGGAGAGCAATAGATCACTCCCCAACCACTAAACAGCGCTCCACAAGACTACCCCGTGTCTTCACCTCAAAGCAAGCAACTAGTAAACGTATTGTTATGAAACAAAGAACAACGGAAATGTATGACGATTATGGTAAATATGAAAAGTTGTCTTTTTCGCGA